ACTCACCATCAGAGAATTTCTCTACGATACATAAATCTGGAGACAACTCTACAGGGAACTCAGTGATGGAGATAATTTATAAATTTCTTGCTAATAACAGGAAAATTTGGTACAAAACCAAAAGGTGTGGTATAACATACCTACCTGACCGCATTCCCTCCAGCATAAGTTGGTAGTAGCAAGACATAATTTAAAAAGCCTAGATGGAGGCAGCGATATAGATATATACAGTTTGAAATTAGACACTAAAAGAGGTACACTGGGTGTTATACCTTTCAGTGTATGTAAAAAGTCATGCCACCTATCCACTGAGTATACCTAACTGAGACCACTCTACTAATTCGACATATAAGATAATTTAGGTCCCACTTCCCTGCAAAAATTGCATAGCACACGGAAATGCCGGGATCTAAAAAAACTTTTCTATTTTTGATATATCCAATTTCGTAACATTCCAAAATGTTCACTAACCTCTAATGTGCAGGGGCGTCAAAAACACTCAAGTTAAATTTCCCTTTTAATTGTTTGAATGACAAAAAATTTGAGGACAAAAATAGGTAATTAAATCAGTGAATCGAGTGGGAAGCCCAATAGTCCACATCTAATTCAGGCATAGCAGGTTGCAACACTGATATAAGATATCGGCACCCTCGGGCGCCGGATTGGGGGCATCCATAGGATATCTTTAAGTGAATGAGGAAGAATTTTATTTGCCTCCATCTCGAGCCAAAGAGGATGACCATGGGCTAAATTAAATTTCAGCACCAGCGCTGCATTGGTTGCATGATCGTTATGAATAAAGCTTATCAAACCCTTACCCTCACTAACCCTGAGCTTTTGGAGTATTAATAATTTAATTCTTCCAGGGTTTTTGTTCCATTTGAATGTTAACAGGGCAGAATGCACCTTCTCGAGAAAAAAAAAAAAAAAGATAGAGTTATCGAAAATATAATTTTTTTGGAAGGAGAGTCGTTTTAATCAAACCTAACAAAGAGATTTCCAGACTTTCCAGATTGTTCCTAACTTCAGATCAGACCTTACCCAGGTTATAAGTATGCATCTTGAACAGGTTCTTACACAGGTTAATGTCCAGATTAGAAACAGAGTCTCTCCAATCGAAGTAAAACCGACTTTTCAGATCCAAGTCATACCAAGGGATGAAAAAAAGAAAGAGCTTGAGTCTTAATAGTATTTAATTTATTGAATGACATTTTGCCAAATTCTTGCAGGATAGACAAGCGGATTAATCAGCGGATTAATTGAGGTAATTGGATGACTAATAGGCAACATATTACCGGGCCTTAGAATGGCTGGACTTAACGTACCAAAGAGTAGTCAGGATACTTGCCGAGATCAGGGGATAAAAAAAAAGAGACAAAACGATAAGGGAAAGCCAGAAGTCAGGGATACCAGAATACAGGGAAGTCAAAATCAAAACCAAAGTCAAAAACCAGAAGAAACTTGAATCAGGAACGCGCTCTCAGACAACCACTAGGGAAACCACAACAGGGCTCTGAGCAGGAGAATTGGGCCTAAATACCTCTCCTCTGGATCTGATAGGCTGTAATCGGCCTTTGACCCCAAAGGCAGTTACCAGGTTCCTATTTGCATAATTAATGCTCAGCACAAACCCTCCTGTGGATTTGACTGCTGCTCGGCACAACTTTTCCTGTCAGGACAGTAATGTTGCTCGGTACAACTTTTCCTGTCAGAACAGTAAATGTCAATCACATTTTTATATGAAAAAAGGAAAACGTAAACCTCGCTGTTATAAAAATAAGAAGTACATACATATAATTGCAGGAATTTCCAATGAGTCGAAAACCTCAAGATAAAATAGAAAAAAAAATAATAATAGTGCAATACAGTAAAATTATAGCATGAAGTGGTGAATGTAACTAAACACAATCCACTCACATTTGTATGAGCTATAACAGAGCTCAACTGTGATGCGCTTGGACGATACAATCCCCGTCTCAGGATATGTTGTTAAGTTATTGAGCATAAAACTTGCTCTAGTATGGACAGCTTGGGTGGTATAATCCCCACCAAGGATATGCAGGATCCAGGAAGTAACAAAAAGAAAAAAAAAGAATGAATATAAAAAGTATCTATTAAAAATATACTTTAATATAAACAAAACATGGTATAAAACATAAAAGTTATATAAAAATATAAAGGAGAGTCCCACTTGACGCGTTTCGCCTGATATGCTTCTTCAGAAGTGTGGTGTAACCTCCTCTGGGTCCCGTTTATATGTGCTTCTAAAGTCTTAAAATTACTTCCTGGTGTGTTTCTTCCGGTTTCCTGATTCTCGTTGGAACGCACGCGTCATACTGGAAGTGACGCTATATACGCTTCATACCGGAAATGACACAGAGTTGTAGATTGGCTGGTGTATTATTATTGCGCTAATTATGGAACGCACGCAGCGTTTAGAAATAGCGTGTGTTGCGTTACAGGCGCTTCTATCAGGTGGTCAGACCCCTGAGAATAGGCATGTCCTTCCTTACCAAAATGGCATGGCGGCCATATTAATTTATGGGCATAGGGGGAAAGAGAGAATTGAATAAGATCATTAAATATTAATCTCTTTAATGTAATTCATAACATTATTTATAAATAGTATAAATAAAATTTATAAAAAATACACACATAAGAAAAACAAAAATAACAGAAGAATCAAATAAGATTGGCACTCACAAACAGAGAGTGGTAATTAGCATTTACATGTAAACCCATAATATACAAAATAATATTATACTTAAGACAAACATAATGATGTGCACTAAAAGTAAACTTTCTCCAAATGTGCATATAGTCGAGTGTAATTTAAAAGAACTTTATCCAGAGATACATTTAGATAATTTGATATAAACACATTAACACAATATACATATAATCTCATGAGTAAAAACATATATTTAAACAAGAGTAGAGTTGTTTTAAAAAAGATTGGTCAGAATGCTGTCACTAGCAGGTAAAATAAACCATAAAAAGTTATAAAAGATTATAAAAAATTATATGAATCAAAATCAACGTTTAGCCCATTCGGATGTAAAGTATCTAGCTGGTATACCCACTGCATTTCTGCTTGTCCAATCTTTTTAACAACATCTCCTCCTCTCCAGTGGTTTTTTTACAATTGCAATCCCAATGAATAAGAGGTGCTTAGGGTCATTGCTATGCATGCAAACATGGGCTGGTACTGAGTGGTTTTTAAAACCTTTTTCTATATTTCTGCAGTGTTCTGCTATTCTTGTTTTTAATGGTCTTATAGTTCTACCCACATATTGGAGGCCACACGGGCATTAAAGTAGGTAAATTATATTTTTACTATTACATGTAATTACCTCTTTAATATTATATATTTTACCAGTATTATTATTTTTAAAATTTGTAATATTTCTTTTAGTTGTTTTTGTTTTTGTACAGGCCATGCAACAATTACATTTGTAAAAGCCTTTTTTATTCATAAAATTATTAATTTTGTTAGGGCTCGTCTTTGTATAATTTTTTGTTAAGTGCATCTTGAGATTTGGCGCTCCTCTAAATATTATTTTTGGTTTATCAGGGATTATTTCTTTTTAAATATCATCTTTCAGTAAGTGCCAATGTTTTTTTTTATAATATTATTCAATTAATTGTTTTTATTTTTATAATCTAATACAATTGGCAAAGTAAAATCAGAATTTGTTTGTTTCACTTGGGTTTTAACTTTATGTATGAGTTGGTTCCTATTTAATCTGGCTGTTTGGTTAATTGTTGCCTCAATATTAGCTGTATTGTATCCTTTTTGTATGAAGATTTCTTTTAGCATGTTGGCTTGTTTAGTAAACATGGACGTATCGGAACAATTTCTTTTAAGACGCATTATTTGGCTTTTTGGTATGCAGTCTAGCCATGTTTTGTTATGACCGCTATCCATACTTATATAATTATTTACATTTACATCTTTAAAATGCGTTTTCGTTTGTATTTTGTTATCCTTAATATAAATATTTAGATCAAGATAGGTAACCGTGGTATTGCTAAAATCTGCTGTTAAAAATATACCTTCTTCATTATTATTTAAAAAAGAAATAAAATCCTTAGCTGAACTAATAGACCCCTTCCAAAAAAATAGAAGGTCATCTATATATCGAGAAAAGGATACCAGGCCATCCACCCAGTCATGCCCCCTCCAGACTGATCGGTCCTCCCACTCCGCCATAAAGAGGTTGGCATAGCTGGGTGCAAACCTGGCACCCACAGCTGTACCAGTTTTTTGTAAATAAAAACCATCTTTAAACCAGAAATAATTATGTTTTAAAATTAGGTCTATGCCTTCAATAATAAAATCAATTTGTTCTTGAAGTATGGAGTCATCTCGTTCTAAAATACATTTTTATATGCAGATGAATATGTGACAGTAAAGCTCTCAGAAACAAATCCAGTCTCAGATACTCTAGCAGTTGGTTGACTATATAACGCAAACACAGCCTTGATGAAAGGATCAGGAATATTAAAGCGCGGCAGGACCTCCCTAATCCCAGTGACTTCCATCGAATGCCTTCTCCGCTTCAAAAAAAAAGGAGCAGAGAAGGTGTGCGATTTAATTTGAGGTGATGTGTCAAGTTTATGAAACGCCGTCTACCATCAAGCGCCTGAAGATTCACTACAAAGCTCACTTGATCTTTGTCAATTAGGCACAGGAAAATTTGAGTACGTCGATTGGCCAAAATTTTAGACTACATTTTTTATTGTTATTAATCAAAGAGATTGGGCAAAAATTTGAGCAGGCGGTCGGAGCCTTTCCAAGTTAAGGTAGCGTTGTTATTTGGGCACTAAAAGACTCCTACAGCATTCCTCCCATATTCCAATAATGATTTAATAGGCGAGCTAAAGGAGGGGTTAGAATGTCAGTGAAATATTTATTGTACGACATTGTGAAACTGTCAGGGCCTGGAGCTTTGCCTGTCGGAATCATATTAATTGCGTCAATTTCATTTGAAGAAATGGGAGAATTTAGAATGTCCAGTTTATCAATAGATAGGTGTTGGAGTGGGACCCTATCCAGAAATGAGCACAACTTATCCGATGTGGATTGTATTATATGGGGATCAAACATGTTACAGATTTTGATGGGAATCGGGGATTCTGTTCAAGTGTGTGCAACATAGTAATGTTTGTTTTGCTTAACAGTGGACACATGGTCCCTGCTTTCAGTCCGTACTGATTAGGTTGTGTTTGTTTTCTTTGATGCACCAATTCTTGTTTCTTGCATTTTGGATGGTTGCAGGTCACCTCCACAAATTGTCCAGTGAACACTACAATAAACCGACCATAACACCTCCTACCACAATCACCTACATCAAGAGAAGTGTTCTTAAGCCCACGTTCTAAGTACTCAAACAAAAAAGGCAAAAAATGAATGATGTTAGAAAGATGTTAGACAAAAAGGTATATATATATATATATCTATAAATATATATGGAAATCTGGCACTCTACCTTTAAATCAGCTTCTGTAATAAACTCGGTGCTGCACAGCGTAAATAAATATGGAAAACGAGAGCACTCCAGAGGATTTTTTCAATCAAACTTTATGTGTAGTGAAGGGGATCAACGTTTCGACCCAGGAGGTCAATATATACACATATATACACACACACATTATTATTATTTTATTATTTATATAGCACCAGCAAATTCCGTAGCGCTGTACAATGGGTTACACACATATATACATATACATAAAAGAAGAGCACTCACAGGGCTCAGCAGTGAAGATAATTCTGCTTTATTTGAGCAGACTAAATGCAGTTAAGTCCTACATGCACTGTTGCTGCGATGGAAACCCATTAGTAAATGCTGCTAACACGGACTAGAAAGAACAGAAACTGAGTGACTGACGTCACTCCATTCTGTCGCCCATATGCTTGGCGAAGCCAAAGTGTCAGCATCAATGAGAAGGTTTGCCCTGCTTGGGGAAACGTTCTCAAGCAGGGTAAACTAAAAAATACCAGGGGCCAGTTAGGAGGTGGGTGTTACGCAACACAGTATGATAAAAGATAGGAGTGAAAAAAAAATAAACCATAAAACTTTGCGGAACAAATTAGGATAAAATACAGTTTTATTGCACTAAATTCTCAAAGTGCCATTTGGAAGCAACCAAAAGTATCTTCTAGGGTTTGAATGAACCATTTGTTGCAAAACATATATTGATTATGGTTAAGTAATAGGTTTTGAAAGAATGGATCCCTGAGATCAAACGGATGTACTCACTCATGCAACAGAAGTACTAAGTGGTTGCATAATAGAAAGCAAGTTTATTACAGGAATGTAACATAGGAATACATGATTTTAAGGTTTAAATGTGCCTTAAAACAAAGATATTGTAGAAGACTGGACCTCGTTAATTAGAAATATGGAAAGTAATGTACGCACCATTTTAAACTCAGATGAACAGTAGCTTTGATTAATAAGCTATATAATCTAAACCAGGGGAAGGCAACTTTCGACACTCCAGATGTTGTGGACTACATCTCAACTGATGTTTTTCCTTAATATGGCATTAATCATATTATGGGAGATTTAGATCACAACATCTAGAATGCCTAAGGTTGCCTACCCCTGATCCAAAGAATCTAAAGAATCATGGATGGACATGAGAGATCACTTTGGATATAGTGCAAGCCTGGTGTCCAAATTACAAGGGTCTGTTATTAGTAATATACAGTTCATACAAAATATAGGTAAAAAAACTAAAAATAATCCAGTACTTTACTTCCAACATAATTGTTACGAGATTGCAAACATTTATCTTATATGTTTCTCTGATCCACATAGAAATCAGCTTGGAGCTCTCAAGTCATCAGGAAGAGAGAGAAAAAAATTACAAAGCAAGGAAATAAAATCTGTTAATCTAGCTCTTTGATCATATAGATGTGTCTTTGAATCTAAAATTAAAAAAGAAGATGTAGATTCAAACATTACTGACAGCATAACTTTTTGATTGGTTGATTTAGTGTGGCTATTCTAAAACATATTCCACGGTCAAAGTACCATATTAGCTCGCTTTCCTTTCAAGTATTTAGGCATTTAATGCTGAGTGTGTCAAAGCAAGACTGTACTTTGTCCTTAAACCTCACACACCTCCTGAGCTGCCTCCCACAGCAGTCTGGTATATGCCAATCAGTGATGATACAGTCCCCAATAGACCTACCAACCAGATAGGAGAGCAGCCTCCCCAGAGAAACCCAGGAGGCATCCAATGAACGGCATTAACTAGGTCCGAGGTGCAGCTGATAATGCTCAGAACTTCAGACCTTATCTGGGATTTTATTTCTCCTCTGGTTTTTGGAAGATTCTTCCTACAGAAAGAAAATTAAACAATTTTGTAGCAGTACTGTAAATCACTCCAATAGTCAACAATTATTCAATATGATACCATATATGATAACTTCTTAATGTCCTTAAAAATACATTTGTACATTTTACTAATAAAGGATCATAGTATATTTTATATCTACATTGGTGTACTCAACATTTTGTAGCTGTAAAGATTCAGCACTTTTAATGAGATACTCTAATCACGCTAAACCATTACACATCAATGTAACGGTTATTTTGCAATGAGTATTTGGGACAGTTTCTCCAATTTTCTAAGAATAATGTGAATTTATTTTCTAGGTGAGAGACCCTAGAAAAAGGAGAAGAAGAAGTACACAATGTACATATTTTAAAATTACATTCTGTGTATGCTATGCAAGCAATTATTTAGAGTTATGAAAACTAATGAAGATGGTTAACTTCACAGTATGAAGAGTAGCCAGCCCCACAGGAATTACCTCTAATTAAAATGCAAAATGGGGTGAACTTTATTGATGAAAAAGCACATAGGATAAAACCAGTGTTTGTGCCACTAAACTGTGGTCTAACACAAGTGTATATAAAGTGGTGATAAAAAGACTACTAGATCTGTTCCAATGGGTACTCATTATATAACTGTAAGCTTCATAAGCTACATTTGTAACAGTGGGGGAGATAGTAGAATTGATTAGGTATAAGGGCAGTGAGCTATTAACTGTAGTGTCCTGCAGGTAAACAGTAGTATATACAGGGTTAACCTCATATTAAACTATAGGCACCACAGCTAAAAATGTAGCAGTGGGATGTAGATAGTTTAAACAACATTAGCAAGTTGTTTTCTGTAGTGTCCACTGGATAGACTGTAATGATTAAACAAATGAGATAGAAGATAGTTAACCCCTTAAGACCGGAGGGCGTACTATTACGCCCTATTTTAGGCGGCTCTAAACGCCGCCGGGCGTAATAGTACGCCCTCTGGTCTTTCTTTACTTACCCGGTCTCCCAGGGAGCCACCCCGCGGCAGATCTTGCCTCCTGCAGCCCCCCCGGCCATGTGAGAGTGAGGTCCTTGCGAGAATTTTTCACGCACAACCAGCACTTACACGGAAGATATTATTGCTGCGATAATTTTTACTGTTTTGAAACACAAATATTTGTGTTCAGCAAAGTCTCCCGAGTACAACAGTAGCCCTCATGTACAGGTTTTATGGTCAATATAAGGCTTGTGTTTCATTTTTTTCACATTAAAATTCGCCAGATTGGTTACTTTGCCTTTGAGACCCTATGGTAGCCCAAGAATGAAAATTACCCCTATGATGGCAATAGTAGACAACCCAAGGTATTGCAAACGGGGTATGTTCAGTCTTTTTTAGTAGCCACTTAGTCACAAACACTGGCGTTTTTTTGAATTTTTTACACACAAACAAATACTAACGCTAACTTTGGCCAATTTTTGTGACCAAATGGCTACTAAAAAAGACTGGACGTACCCCATTTGAAATACCTTGGGTTGTCTACTATTGCAAATTGTATGCCATTATGGGTGTAAATTTCATTCCTGGGCTACTATGCAGTCTCAAAGGCAACGTAACCAATCTGGCGAATTTCAATTTCAAATGTAACGTGTTATATTTGACCCTGTAACTTCCCAAAACGCCATAAAACCTGTACATAGGGGGTACTGTCTTACACGTGAGACTTTGCTAAATACAAATATGTGTATTTTATTGCAGTAAAAGCAAACAGTATTATGACATTGACAGTTAAAATGTCATGTGGAACTAAAAATTTTTTTAAAAAATCTTATTTTCTCCCATTTTTTTCCTATCCAAATTATGTTTCATAGCTAAATATTTGATATTAAATGAAAGCCCTGTTTCCCCTGAATAAAATTATATATAATAAGTGTGGGTGCATTTAATATGAAAGAGGTGAATTACGGTTGGACAGACATGTAGCGCAAATGCCAGGTTTTGTTTACATTTTGTTTTGTTCACAACGTGTACATTTGGCTCTGTCCTTAAGGGGTTAAATAGGGAGTCAAATCATATAGATATTAACCAGCAGTCCCACATCCAACACAACGAATAATCCAAAATTGCAAATAATCAATTTTCTCGCTACTTAGACTCTAATCACTACAAAGTCTTAGAAAAAGGCCTCTCATTTGTACCCACGCCACCATTCGACAAATTCATGTGGATCAAGGACCTGCACCTTTTTGTGCCATAAACTTGCCCTTCATACATAGTTTCATACATTATGTACAGAAAGGAAAGCACGGGACTTGGGTCTCACACCTAGAGACTACCAGTGTATGAACACCCTTCTGTCCCTTCTGGATGAGAACGACAGCCAAATACCTCTAAGTCGTGTTAAACTCAAGACAAAGAATCGCTTCACTCACAATCTAGCTAGCTTTAGGAATGTTGAGTTTTTTCTGGAAGCAGCTAAGAATGAATTCGAGAAGATAAATTTGACCCTATTTATTTTCACCCTAATGATAATCTCTCCAGAAATGAGTAAGCAGCACTAAGATGATACTGATCTAATTATCAAGCCGGCTGGTAAGGGTGGCAATATAGTGCTGATGAATGCTGGGAATTACACCAACATGGTCCAAAAAGTACAAGGCGATACGGATACCTACAAGGTTCTGAAAATGGACAATACAAATGAGCTCTTACAGAGGTATAAATATATTCTGGACTATGGCCGCAGTGAAGCGTTCATATCGTGGGACGTATACAAGTCCATCCTGAATCGTCACCCCAGGATAGAAACCTCTTACTGCTTGACAAAAGTCCATAAGAATCTGGAGGATCCACCAGGTCGCCCCATTGTTTTGGGGGTGGACA